TTTTCGTTGAGTGTGTATGAGTCAAGCCTAAAACATCAATCAAAGCCAAATTAAGCGTAAAATGCTGTGCAGGAAACAAAGCGTCAAAGTCAAGACACACACAAACAAAAAAATAAAGCACAAAGCACAACAAGACACACACACACACGCACACAAAGAGACAGCGACGAGTGCAGTGCAAAAGGTTAGGCCCGCACCAGGAAAGCAAAGCCCGCATATACTATAAACACACACGCACACACACACACACACTGCCTGTACTGCCTCCATAACCATGGCCAAGACAATCAATCAAAGCGCTTTCCAAAGAAAGGCAACAAAAAGACCAAAAACAAGAAGACAACAGCTACAACAACAACAACAACAACAAAAAGTGCAAGCCGGCCTCAGCTAATTTTAAAAGTCAGCCCCTACTGCAGCCGCAGCTCCAATTGCAGCTCATTTGCATACAGCGCTGAGTTATGGATGAGCTGTTGGTGTGGGCAGCAGCCAAGAATTGGCACACGCACAAAGAGGCTGCCAGTGGTGTCCGTGTGTGTGTGTGAGTGTGTGCATGTGTGTTTTATGCAAATCTTTAAGCCGACAAACAGTTTCCTGATAAATGCACATACATATATATACATATATATTTATATAGTATATGTGCAGCTGGCAAACCGTTATATGCGCGATTTCCACAAATTTGATAAACCAAAGCCGGCGGCTGAAACAAAAGACTTAGGCAACAAACTTGCGTGTGATAAGACTTGAAAGTATATTAAGCTAAAATGATGCAACAGCTAATAAAGAGACTAAGGAACGAAGAAGATGAATGAAGAAGCAAAGGAAGATCGTAAAGTAGATGATTTATATGCAGAGAAACCTAATGGAACGAAATTAGAAAATGAAGATGAACTATATATATATATGCATAATATATATGGATGAGAGAAGTTCTACATATTCTATAATATGTATATAGAGTAGAACACATGTATATAAAACATAATATTGAATATTTATCGATTCGTCAAATCGGATTTTCAAGGGGAATACCTCTTCAGATGAAGTATATATGTATATGCATTATATAATATATATATTCATATAAAAACATAATATTGCATTTAAATATTTATAAATTCGTCAAATCGGATTTTTATGAGGAATACCTTTTCAGATGATACTTAATATGAAAATAGTAAAAGCATTTTTTATGCATAAACAAAAAAGTAGAAGAAAAAGATAATCAATGTCAAAATGGCATCAAATTGAGAAATAAAGCCAAAAAAAAAAGAAGAGTTTGAATGAAAGTTAAGATGAATGACCGATATGAGTATATATAATCTATTGAATAATTCACTATATATTATCCATATGAATAAATGAATACATATATTAATATATACATACATACGATATAAAATGATATATGTACATATGTAGATATTTATATGTTAAATATTATACGAGTCGAATGTGATGAATGAATGAACCAGATACAAGCATAAGAGTTGACTGAAAGCTTGAATGAAATATTCATCAAAGCGCCGATGTATAAATAGAAAAACTGTATACTATAAAGATATCCTATATAAAGATATAAAAACAAATATGATAACCAGCATACCCTGTAAAAAAATGTTCAGTATATGTTAGAGCGTTAAAATGAAAAACACTCCACATTTGCCGAATTCAAGATCTTAACTGAACTCTTTATTGCTTAAAATCCTAGTTCTTATATACCTAACAGAGACTCTTAAAACTACTTCCAGTCACTGGAAGGGTGCATTTTCTCACACAAACAAGTGCCCAGATGTTTACTTAAGTGTCCCTTTTTTTTGAATCTTTGGGCCCAGGCTCACGTTACATTTACATATATTAGACGCTGCATTGGTCGCTGCAACTAAGGGATGACATATTTATTACTTTGTGTCGGATAACGCGCAGGTTATTCGAGTACTGTCTCTATTTTTATTATTATGTATGTTCATGTTTGAACAGTATAAGTTCCTGATATATATAGAATACGAATTGTAGCTAGAAATGAAATAACTAGTCCAGACACAATTGACACAGATCCAGACTTATAGAATACAAATATATGACTAGCTCTATAGATATGTATATGATTCATATGCCGTATGCAAGACGGCCCCATACAACCATGATATATACAATAATATAATAATATTTTCATGATATGTGCAATACGAATTTCTATCAAAAATTAATTATATACAGAAACCTATGGACATAAGACTATACAAAAGCAATGCATACCCTATACCTGTACACCCTATAGAACTTTAAGCTTAACTTATTAACTCTTAAGCTCACACACACACACACACACATACGCACACTTGACGTTTGTTTGATGTGCTTTTGTCTACTTGGCTGTGGCCGTGTCTGTTTTGCCGGCATCAAGTCAAAAGGCGAACGCGTCGCCGTCATAAACCTTTCGATAGGCGGCGCTGCTTTGGCTACGCCTTGACCGCGCATCGACCCAAACTTGCGCTTGGTTTGTTCTTTTTCAATTTAATATATGTTCTTTCTCTCTGCTGCCGCTTGTTCTTCTTCTTATATTTTATTATTAAGCGTTACGTGCGCAGCATTTAAAAGGCAAACGCAGGTTGCATTTCCCTGCGTTGCATTTGTTGCTGTGCATTTTTAATTTGTTGTATGTTTGATTGCGCGTTGCGCGACGCCGAGAGAAATTAAAAAACAATATTTAATCAGCGCACATAATCTGCATTTTAAAATTGAGTTTCCACTCAGAGCGCGGGCTGCAGGCGCTTTTGGGTGTTGACCATTTAACGCGTCGAGCAGGCAGCTGCCCCGCCGAGCCCGCCTGAAAGCCCTGTGAAAAGAATTTGTTAGATTTTAATCGCTGAGCTGCGTTTTCGCTCGAATAAAAAATAATAAAAATAAAACTGAAAAAAAAGGTTCAGTTTGGCTTGGCTTGGCTTGGCTTGACTTGGGTTGAGTTGGCGCAAAGCCATAAAAATCAAATCAGCGGATCGGACGATGACGACGTCGTCGACGACTTCCTTGAAATCAAAGTCAACTTCGGCTCAACGTTTGATTCATTTGGTAGACTTGGCTTTATATGCTTTATATCTTTTTTTTTTTTGGCCGCAAGAACCTTGCTCTGGTTGGGGCTGGGGCGGGCGGGTGCCAGGGTAGCTGCATTGGGCTAGAGGGTTTTGTGCTTGTTAATCCTTTGACGTGACGTCTGTTCATAATTTGCGCTCATATTTCATCAGCTATGCATGCGGCTGTGTAGTCCAGAACTTTGGCCTTGCGGCAATTTTGAAAGGTTCTCTGATTGAATATTCTAAAGTAAGTTTGTCGTAAATCATTGGCCCAGACAGCTGTGGCCCCAGCTCTCGACTTCGAGCTGTTCTCCAAAACAAAACAAAACCCTTTTCACACACACACACACACACACACACATAAATATTAATGCGAGTGCACATGATAATATGCATATGCTGAACGCAACTATTACATCAGTTAAATGTCTCACAACGGCTCTTTGTCATACGAAATGGCAAAAGCCAACAACAACAACTACAACAGCAACAAAAAGTCGCACAGTCAATGATGCCGTTTCGTTCGTTCAGTCAACCCAAAAAATAATGATAAAAAAAAAAAAAAAGAACTCACATTCTAAATGCCAATCGTTGGCTATAAATAAAAGAGTCAAAGAGCTCAGAGCTCGGAGCTTGCTTTTAATTTTAATGAACCATAAAAATTCACACGCACAATGATGATGATGGGCAGCAACAAAATAGTATTACGATACCAAGACTCAGTTGACACAGACTCAAAAAAAAAAAGAAATGAAAAAAAAAAAATGGAAATGAAAATGTTAATGAAATCCAAAGAGACGCTAACAAAACAAATCAACAGCTAGAGCTGGGTTATGGGAGTCTGTCTGGGAGTTTGTTCGTTTTTCTCAGCAAACAAATCCCGAAGAACCAGAAGAAGCAGATGAACAAACCAAAAGAGACTCAAAATTCGAAAGAAAACTATTAAACAACTGTCCGAGTCTTATCGCAGAGAATCGCTCGTACAGCGTTTGCTTAGAAATTAGAGACGAAAACACAAACTTTTTGTTTCTCTCGCAGTGTGCGTGTGTGTGTGTGTGTGTGTGTGAAGAAAGGCCTTACCTAGAGACCGGTTTAACAGCGCGCTGTTAACTCACTGTTAAAATGTACGCTAGCTGCGACGTCGACAGCGACTGCGACTGCGACGCCGACTGCATTGTTCTGGGCACTCAACTCAACCGACAGCTCTCAGAACCGTAGCTCGCATTTCATTAGCTCCACAGCCAGCGACCGGTTCATAACACAATCAGCAGTCCGCGCCGTCGTCGTCATCGTCGTCGTCGTCGTTGTTGTCGTTGTCGTAGTTATCGCTGAGAACTGTGCGCGTGCGCGTTTGAGTTTACGTTTACGTTTTAGTTTACGTTTACGTCTACGGCCCACGCGAGACACTCGGCAAAGTAGCTGATTCGGTAAACAGTCGTCACTCGATATACGCAACAAAAACAGAATATACTACTACTACATATAGTGTAGATAATCAATGTGAGAAGAGATTTAAAGCATTTGGTAGATGCTGAGTTTCGTTATGCAAATCGAATGCGTGAAAGTAAACAAATTCTTTGTGTGCCAAATTTGGTTAGTTTTGTGAAATTCGCCAGTTAAACAAAAGAAATTTATTTGCCATTACGTGTTGTATTATGAAATGCGCGTAAAAGTCGCGTAATCAACAACAACAACAGCAACAGCAACGAGAGCTGTAAAACAAGGCAAATAGAAAACAAAAATTCAAGTCAAGAAATTGCCGCCAATGAGCAATGAAAGTACCTCTCTTTCACGCACTCTATATCTATGTGTTGTATGTGTTGTATGTATGTGTGTGCGTGCGTGTTAATTGATTGGCAAAAGGTGTAAATCTTTATGGTACATATTTAACGGCATTTCTTTCAATATATAATATATACATACCTATATAAATTTTGTGGAGCAGAGCGAGTGATTGTCCGCATTGGAGGTGAGCAATAATAGCAATAAATATGTAAATCTCTGAAATAAAAATACAAATCCAAAAAAATATTTGATATCATTTAAAAGTAATTAGCGTCATGCTCTAGAAATTGGGTTAAATGTGAAAATTATTATTCTGTCTGCGATTATGTGTGACTCTGTGTATGTGTGTGTGAAGCTGGTGTGAAATTTGTTCACATTAAGTGTCAAGAATAAATTTTGAATATCAATTCTTTAAAAAAAAAAAAAAAAACTTGTGAAATAGACAAAAACAAAGAGTTCAAAATATAATAGCGAATAATTATTAGTTAAATAAATTATTAATTAGCAATATAGATTTTAATTATAAATAAACAGTATTAAAAAACTATTAGGTAAATATAAAAACCCCACATAAAACTAAATGAATATTTATTAAATCAAAATAATAATTATAGATTTGTCTTGCATTATCTGCAAACTAATCAAATATTGATGAATAATTAATATTAATGAGTAAAACAATAAAAAGCTAAATTTAGTTCAAATGAGTCAACTCAAATGAGAAAACTCAAAATTTAAATATATAAATAGGTTCGAGCCAAAGAAAATTGTGTTTAATTTGGTTTTGAAATCATATGAATAATTTAAAAACCAAAGAGAACAAGTTTAACAGAGTTTTCATATGACGCAATAAATTAATAAAATATATTTAAATAAATAAACTAAAATTGAAATTCTTGGAAAAAATAAAAATAAATAATAACAAAAAATATATAATAAAAAACTAATAATAGTTAAATAAAAAGAAGAAATTTAAGAGATATTTAAATATTTCATCATGAATAAAATATATATATAAAAATAAAATGAAATACAAATTATAATAAAATAATTGTAAATAATAAAAAAAATATATATATATTAAAATAAGATAAATAATAAATTTAAAAAAAAAATAAAATAAATAAATAAAAAAAATTATAATAATAATAAAAATTTTAAACTTTTGTTTTATTAAAAAATGTTTTATAATATTTAATTAATATAACAAAAATAAAAATAAAGAGAATAACGATAACACAAACTTTTTTGAGCAATAATTAAGTTGGCTTTACCAAATAACTTTTCAAATACGTTTTATTTATTATATTTGAAACAATGCATGATCCATTTAAATAGCGTTTTATTTGAATATTGCCATTTAAGTTGGCTAGAAAATTGGAAGCAGTAAATATTGAGAAAGCTCTCCAAATTCTCCCAACTAATTGATAATTGTATGCAAATTTAAGTCGGTTTCAGCTCTATGGATATTTATTATCCAGAACTATCTGCTCTCTTTATGGATAGCATTCAACCGTTTGAGTTGGCCAAACATTAGGCATTCACTCAACTTGAAAGTTGCTTTTTGTTATTGCCACCTTAAAGAGTTCTAAACACTCTTTTTTTTTATGCGGCCTTTCACTGCTGACAATCCATTAGACAACAACAATTTGTTTAGCCCGTTCATTATCAGCTCGATTATATGCCCATTGCTGCCCACACTCTGATAGCCAGGGCAGGGACAGCCTTTGGGGCTGGGGAGGCGGCTGCAGCTGAGACTGAGGCAGTGCGAGTTAATGGTCTGTCGTAGAGCTGACACCAACGCACACTTCTCATCTTTGGCTGCCCCCTTGCAGCAAGCAACACTCTCCAATCGAATGGTATTGGGACTTTCGTGTTTTGTTTTATTGACAACAAAGACATGCAGCGTCTAGATGAAAATTTCACTTACAAAAGGCGGGCGCAACATTTTCTTATTGTATTTTCATTTTTCTGGGTCAAAAGCAAAGCAACAAAAGCCCATCCTCGGCATTGCCAAGCCCAGCCACAGCCCCAACCAGCCAGCCTTAGCACGGCCCAGCCCCTTTTTCTCTCTCTCTCTCTCTCTATTTGTCTCTAAGCTCGCAGCATTTGTTTATAAATGGCAACAAAGTTGCCCAAAAAAGGGATTTCCCTTTTACATACACACACACATACACTCACATAAACACCTCACATAGCCGTCACAAATGAAAAACTTTCGTTTCGTCTGTGAACAGAACTCTTACGGTTACCTAGTGTCATAGCCAAGGTAGAACTGTGGGCATAAATTAAACTTTTTTCTTTGGGTCTGACACAATGCTCAATGAACCCAATATAGAACTTCGACAAACGGTTCTTTTACTATATTCTTCTATATGTGTGTGCTACCGTTTAAGAGAGTTCTGTGTGCCACCAAATGCGGCAGCCGTCAATTGTTGCTGCATTTCGTTTTCGATTTCCTGTGCTGTTCTTGGTAGGCGACCGCTATGCCCTACCCAAACCCAAATCCTACAGCTCTATCTCTCTCTCCCTCTCTCTCTCTCTCTCACTCTGTCTATCTGTCTGTCTGTGTGCAGCGCATGATTAATATAGAATCCGAAATGTGTGTGTTTTCCAGCTCGGACCGTTTGGTTGATTAGTAAGCACGTCAACATTTCAATAAAAAACACAAATCATTGGCGCGGGCAAGCTCATCAACGTCAGAGCAACAACAACTATGACTACTACAACAGCAACAGCAACAACAACAACAACAACATTATTATTATTGCCCCTTTTTTCTGCTGTTCTGCGGCTTTGCATTTTAATTGCTTTTGATTTGCTGCTGCCCCCGCCATATTTATGAATCGGAATTGAAAATTTTCGAATTGGGCGCGCTCCGACTGTTAAATTTAGCATATGAATAAAGCAACAACAACAACAACAACAATAACAATGACGACAACAATAGCAATAACATCAATAACAAAATGAGTTACATTCTGCCTATACATATGGAGCACGTATCTATATATCTATATACACATATATTATCCATATATACTTTATGGATATATCGCATCATCTATCTATTGACACAGTCGATACTCAAAATATAACTTTACGACACGGTCAACCGTCAAGGGCCGCGAGCCCTTGAAACTGCTTTTGTCCGGCTGAGTTTTTATATGATGTTACGGTATTTGATATTATTTCATTTTACCTCAGTTTTTTTTCGAGAAAAAATACAATCGAAGAAAAAAAAACAGTTTTGATACAGTTTTCGTGGAAAAGATAAAGTGATGCGCATAGAAAGAAAAAGGTTTCTAAGTAGCTTTGTCAAATGTCTCTGAAGTAGTTTAAAGGCCTATAAATTTTAGGGACTTTCAGAAGTTTTTGGATTTTATAACAGAGATTTTATGGGCGATTCTAGAAACATATTGAAAGGCTTCATTAACTAAACTTCATTTTAGCTGTGCTGTCTTTATATCACATTTGTTTACATTAGCTCTAGAACTGTATTGCATATTATATATAGATTATAGCTAAGAGCAACGTGACACTTCCTGCAGCTTAACCTGCATCTGCTTCTTATGAACTGTGTTGATATGGAGATGAAGTATTTAGCTACAGTATTATATATACGTATATATAATGACTAGAAGATCTATATACGATGAGAGTAGAGATATATAGAGTGGCGTAATATTTAAACATAAACATGAGGGGAAATCATGCATATAAGAATGCTGATATAGATTTCTATATAGATAGATTTTTATAGATATTAATAAATATAAATATCCATCTATATTATCTTTTATTGGATGCATAGTTATGTTATATACCTATCTATCCTACTTGAATATATATAGAAATACACATAAAGATATATTTATATTTGATATCATTCTACATTCTCTTCTATATATCTATTGATTATTCACATATACGTATACATATACAATACATAGACATAAAAAAATAGCTATAAATATTGATTCGTAATTAGTAATTGCTATACGCCCTGAGTCATGTAATGACATATATTAAATATGAATATATAATATATGTATATGCCAGCTTACTGTTATCTACTCCCTCGTTACTGCAGCTCGTTTGCTCTGCCCTTACCTTAATAACTTACACTAAAGACCCACCTAAATATACTCCACCTCACGTATTCCTCCTACTCATTACTCAACGCAGACCTCAAACAGAGGCAACTGCCTGCACTCGACTCAGCCTATCATAAATGACAGCTACTTTTGGCTTCAGTGCAATAACCTTGCGGCTTACACAGCTACCCCCAAAGAGTCCGCCCAAAAAAGAGCGAAAATAATATGAAACGAATCCCAACTGCGCCTTTTCTCACACCCAATAGAACGAATGAAAAAAAATAAAGGGACAACTTGACAAATGAAAGCAAAAACCAACTGTCCAGCGATATAAAAAGCTGAAAACGAGTCAAGAATGGGCAGCGCGTTAATTTTTCATGGTAGACAAGAGAAAAAGCATATTATTTCATTATTTACATCGTGGCGACTAAACAAACGAGCGGCAGCAAGTGGCAAGCGGCGAGTGGCAAGTGGTGAGTGGGCTAGAGGCTAGAGGCAAGTCGCGGCTAGGCCCAACGATGTTGTCCGTCATTAGTCACACCAAGGGTTAGAGATATGCCCGGTGCCAATGCTAGGGCGAGTGCAAACCACAAGAGATCCGCGTGCAAAAGCGGATAAAAAGTAATCAAAAGCGCTAAGAACGACATAATCAGGTAAGCGAGAGCTCGAGGACTCGATGCAGCTGAAGATGCAAGTTAAAGCCAAAGCCAAAGCAGTTCGCAGTTGCCGTTGACAAAACGGATATGAAACAAAATGCAGGAACAGCATAGAGCAGTTTATACTATATACATGCATACATACATACATATATACTCTACATATACAGATATACATGGATATTGTTCGCTAGCTGCGCAGTCAGCGTCGACGTGAAGTGTTGCTGGGCGTTGAAGCGGCAATAGCGCGAGATTTCTTAGACGCATATAAGCAGCTTGCTGCAATTTTTTAAGCCGCAGCTTAAAACTGGTGACAACAACAGCAACAACAAATGCAGCAACTGCAGCAACAACAACAACAACTCTGCTCTGCTCTGTTCTGCCTTTGACTGCAGCGCGCAGTCGACTCGAGTTGGATTTTGTAAAACTCTTTAGTGTGATTAATGTGCTCAGACACACACACACACACAAACACACTATGCAAACATTCATACACACACACACATGTTTGCTTCCTTTTATGAGCTACGCCTGTTCTGACCTGCGACCGGGACGTGCTCCTTACACTTTTCCTTTTCTGTTTTTTTTTTCTCTCTTCTCTTCTCTTTTCTTTTCTACCTTCTTGCAGCGCGTCGGTTTGCCTTTTGTTAGCAAAACAAAAGCCACCCACATGCATCCACACCTATGTACACACATATATGCGCAGATTTTGTTTGCAAGCACACTAGCACACCAACACACACACACATGTTTTCATAGACTGTCACGTAATCCTTTTGAACGCTGCTTTTATCGCGCTTTATACACTTTCCATGCAACTCGGGAGGGAAACTTGTTCATTAGGCAACGCCAAACTTCATATGCAGCAAGTGAGTTAATGTTCTCTAGTTAGAATTTTGAGCTCTAAAGTGGGTTTAATACAGCTGACAGAGCTTATTTATTGGGGCACTATAAGTTGGAAAATATGTGTATGTATGGGGAAATTTTAGACTGTTTAGGTTGAAGGCTATAGCTAAAGTCAAATAACTAAGCATGGAATTTGTTTGAAATGTTTATATATTCAATATTGTCTTGAATATATAAAATCTTAATATATTTAATATGGGAAGAGCCTTGATCTATTTAAAATATGAAGACAGCTTGCTTTGCATTCTAGAAACTAGAAAGCCAGCGAAACACTTGACAATTATGACTAAGCTCTGGTTGCTGCATGAGCTCATGGAAATGATTAGCTAGAATGGAAGTATAGAAATATATTAAAATGGGTTTTTTTAAATGAAATAATCCAAAAAAAAAATGAGAAACGTAGATTAAGCTGGAATTTTTATTCAATTTTTATATTTATAGCAGATGAAAAGAAATTTTATATAAAACAAAATCAAACTGGAATTTCCTATATTTTTAGAAGTGATTGAATTTGAAGAAAATAAAATAAAAACGTTTCTTTGAATAGGACGAAAGTAAAGTAAATATTAATAGGAATTCTCTGCATTAAAAAAAAAAAAAAAAAAAAAAAAAATTAAATGAAAAAATAATGGCAATTTCTAACAAATTTGCAATTATTAAAATTATTAATTATTACTATTATTAATTATTAAATTATTATTAAATTATTATTAAATTATAATAAATTAAAATTAAAGTTCTCTGCAAAATTTCACTGAATTTAAATAAAATTAAAAAATCAAATGAAAATGCTCTGCCTAAGTTTAAAAAGAGTTTGAACCAACTTAAAATTTTACCTCTATTTTTGCTCCCAGCATACCCAACTCAGCTACATTTAAGAGCATTTAGCATTCGTCCGCTCGCAGCACTCCAAAATCCTTGCTTCTTTTAAGTTTTTTTCTGTTGCTTTCCGTTTCGTTTTTGCTGTGTACCTGTTGTGTTGTTGTTGTTGTTGTAAGCTCTGTATCTCATTATGCGTCAGACTTCTTCCACTAGTCGTTGTTGTTGTTGTTGTTGTTGTTCTTGTCTGCGTCTTAGGTTACATATTTCATATTTCATAGTCAGAAAACCGCATGGAAGGGCGCAAGGCGCAATGCGCAAGGAGACCGGAGAGCGGAGAGCGGAGAGTGGCGAGCGGGCGAGCGGGGCTGCCCCTGTTGTCACTTTCAACCCATCTGCGCACTCCAATTGGGAACTGGCTGCAGCGTTTGTTCAAGTGTTTTGCTTGCGGCTTTTGTTTTGCCCTACGGCCAGGAAACAGTCGCAGCAACAGCAACAGCAACAACAACAACAAACGGCAACAGGCAGGCGGTCTGAAGTGGTAGGACTCTACGCCAGCATAGCTCAACGTCATCGTCGTCAAAGGCAACAAACTTGGGGGCCAGCTGCAGAGACTGAGAATGCGACAGCGACTGCTTGCAAAAGGATTTCATGTTTATTGCAAGTTGTATTTTTCCTTTTGCATGCCTGCTTATTAAAAACAACAACAGCAACAAAAAAAAAAAAAACTTTAAAATAACTTTTTGTGTGGCTTCTTCGTAAATGCAACGTGTCAGTCGCAAGTTAAATGAGTTTCTCTTCGCTTTTTTTTTTTTGTTTGCCTCTGTTGCTTCACAGGAAGTTGTTAAGTGTTGCCCTGGCAGAGGCAGAGCCAGAGCCAGAGGCAGCGGCGCATCTGTCTTGGTTGCCCTGAGCCTAAGTCTCTGTGCCAGTTACTTGGCAAAGCCTGCACAATGCTGTGCCGGGGCGCCACTAAATTAATTAAGCCATTCTCAATGAAATCGACTAAAATGCGAGGCGCAACTGAAACTGTGTCATGCCATGCACCAGCACCAGCAACAGCAACGGCAGCAGACTGAAAAATACTGGAAAAAAAAGATCAGCAAACAGGCGACTAAAACTCCAGACACGTACGCGCCAGGAAACCGAGTCGACTCGAGTCGAGTCGCGTCGCGTCGCGTCGCGTCAGTTGGCCAATCCTCAGCACAAACAAACTCTGTTTGAGGCTGTGGCATCAATTTTTGTCCAGTAGCCAGTAGAAAATGTCACGTTTCTTTAGCCACATAAGTTACAGCGAGAGAGAGAAAAAAAAAACCGTGAGAATTGCTGCTGTTAAGTTTTTCCTGCAAAAACTAAAAAAAAAAAAAATAGGTACTTTCCATGGTGGAAATTAATTGCTGGCCGTGTTATCGTCGTCGTCTAAGACACAGTCGGCCAAATTAATTGGAAAGCAGTGCAAAACACACAAACCAAAATACCAAAAAAAAATTAAATAAGATATCCAGAAGTAAACTCACAGCCAACAAAAAAAAATTGAGTCTACAAAATGAGCTACTCTATTAAACTACTCGCAAAAGCTTTTCCAACACTGTCCAATTAATTAAAAAAAAAAAACAAAAAGCAAAAAAGAAAACTGGTTAAAATTAATGTAAAAGTAAAGTTGAAGAAAATGAGCTGAGAACTAAGCAATCACTATTTGCTGCAAGTTTTACAACACTGAAAAGTAGTGGTGAAATTCTAAAACAGCGTAGAAACTATACTAGCTATCTAAAAGGACCTCTGAAATAATCGATAAAATCTTTAGTTTAAATTGAAACTCTTTAGCCTTGGCATAATCTGTAGCCTAATCAAAAATCTATCAAATAAGAATAGTATTGAGATTATGTTCCTTTTTAACACTGACACTCCTACTATATAGGACAACTGGTCAAGTATACAGTAACAGATTCTGTTAGTTATTTTAACTATAACTAACTAATAAATAGATACAGCTACATAATATATGCAAAAATTTTCATAGAGCCTTTTCCAACATTGGAACATAAATTTCGAAAATTCAATTATAGCTTGCTTTTATGTACAGCACGAAATGTTTTATAACTTTAAGTTAATGCACTTTATGTTGCTGTTGTTGTTGTTGTTGTTGTATTTTACTGTTGTTGTTTCTAGGGAAAATTGCATTTTCAGCTCTTGGCTCGTAAAATTGTTTATGATCCGCGTTTTCCAGCAGCCATTGCATAAACTTAAGTCCGGTCAGTCCCTAGAAGTTCGGTCTATGGAAATGCAAGTCCAGCGTATGTCTTAGCACGCCCACATTGACTCCTATCTCAGTTTCTCTCTCTCTCTCTCTGCGTTTTCTTGCTTCTAATTGCCAACTAATTTAGTAAACGTTTTTGGCCAAACACAGCACTGAGAGCTGAACTACACAGTTCAATGGCAACGTATGCAGAGTGCAGCTTGCAGCGTTGCCATCGTCGCATTTATGTGGGCTCATAAATATGCAAATATCCTTTAAGTACTTTTAATGTATGGTCATTTGTTGGCCAGGCTTACGACGATTCCTACAACAGCGTCTGCCAGCTGCCAACTCCCTCAACCTAATGGCCTTAATGGCATGCGGGGCATTGTCGCCAGCGTCTTGGGGCATATTTACTTGCATCTCCTGGCTGCCTATGCAGCCACAAATGCAATTTCTATTCAGCTTTATAGACACATAAATAACACCTTTACTTCTGAGTCTGTATCTGTGGGGCTTTGTGAGTGTATATGTGGATTGTGCGAAAACTTGACGGATTTTTGGTATATTCCACGAGGGAAGTCTTAAAAGTAGTACTACATTTAAAAAATTCATATGGATAAGAACTCGGTTAATAACAAATGAAAAAAATAATAATAATAATTAAATAAAAAAAATTTAAAAAAAAATTAAAATGATTATAAAAAAAAACTGAAGATGTTTTAAAAATACTAAAAATGATTTTTTTAAATGCTAAAAATGATTTTAAAAATACTAAAAATGATTTAAAAGTGCTAAAAATTATTTTTATAAATACTAAAAGTTTACTTTAAAAACTTTTCAAAAATCTGAAAAAATTTATGATCTTACCTATAGATTATGGCGAAACCCGTGTAGAAAATTGTGCCAAGCTAAAATAAAACAGAAATAGAAATATATATTGATTAGCAAATTAGACAGAATAGAGATAAACAAAAGTAAATATCTGATCTGCCTCGCACATATATACAACTATTCAGCCAACCCTCGCAAATAGTTGTGCGCTCTAGCACAAGCTAATTCCAAGACCAGCTTCAGCGTCTTTGAGCCGTCTACAATATTTATGAACTTTATGCAGCAAACTCCTCAAACTACTCTCGCTCATAACTTAACTATCTAGGCATATGCCACTCTAGTATATGTAGTAACTCACGCAGCTTTAAGTATTTGCTCGACCCTAGGCCATGCCTTGATTAGGGCTAGCCATAAATATGCTCGTAAAAATAATAATAAAACCCTTTTCACTAATTAAAACACAACAAACTTGCAGGACTTGCCAAGAGGAGGAACACAAAGAGCCACAGCAGCGGCAGCAGCAGCACTAGAAGAAGAAGACAGGACGCCAAGACCCAAGTAGAATTCGCACACTGTGGCCAGAACGACGAGGAGCAGCAAACCGAATGCAGTATCTCAACTACGCTCTGCAAACATCCACGCGACTGCTGACCAGCCACAGCCACAGCCAGAGTCAAAGTCAAAGTCAGAAACAGTTTGAGACGAAACTCAATCAGAATCAGCAGCAGCAGGAGCAGCAGCAGCAGCAGCAGGAGCAGCTGAAGCAGAAGCAGCAGCAGAAGCAGCAGCATCATCAGAATCAGCATCAACGTCAGCGACAACGTCAAATAGCAGCAATTGAGGCAGCAGCAGCCGCAGCCACGCCCATTGAAGAGCAAATAGCAAACGCCTGCTGCAGTCGTGGAGCCCAATTGCTGCGGCTGCGTCAACAGGAATTGCTAAAGCGACGCGCGCTCGAATTGGAGGATCAGTTGAACGGGAACATTGATAGCTGGGAGAGCGACGCCAATAGCAGCGAGGAGGCCGAAGAGGGAGCGGTGGGTGGACAGCAGTCAGAGCAAACAGAGCAGCAGCAGGAGCAGCAGGAGCAGCAGCAAAAGCAACCAGAGCAACTGAAGCAGCAGCAGCAGCAACAGCAGCGGCAGCAGCTCGAGCCGCAGCCGGAACGTGAGCCGCAGCCAGTCCAATGAAATTTACTCTCATTTAATGTTCAATTGGCGCGCAGCAAGCTGCTCTCATTCTTTAATCGCGACATGGCCGCCACCGATGGCCAAATCATATTGGCGGCATCCCGTTTCGGAGATGCCACGCCCGTTTATCTGCGCGACTTTTCCAAACAGCCGCTGCCGGCGGTGGCCAAAATACTTAAGGGGCAGCACCAGGCGCTGGGCGTGCCCACCCTTTCGGCGCCCTCGTTGCAGAGCACCGCGCTGTTCTTGAGCGCCGGCAAGAAATATCAGATACTGGCGCAGCCCATCAAGATCAAAGAGGGACGCAAGCCCACCAATGTGGGCGCTAAGGTGCTCATACCGGAGACCTATAACGGCTACTTCGAGCTGCTTAGCGAGGATGGCCGTTCGACGCGCTGCATCGACTCGGTGCTGGAGTTGGCGCGACGACGCAACGCTAGGGTCCTGGTGCGTGAGACGTTCCGTTGCCAGCAATTGAATCGCACCATTCACGCCGGCGAACTGCTGACCACCATGAACGACAACGGTAAATTTCTGCAGTGCCGCAACATCAAGGACGAGATCATCAATCTGCCACTCGATACCAAAGCCAAGTTCTCGCCGATAGCGCGCGAGGACAGCATCAGCGGTGTGCATACGGTCAAGAATCTGTTGCTCAAGCGTATGCCAGTGATTGTCAGGTGAGTTGGCCAAGGATGTAGATAAAGCTATGTATATACATATTGTATATGGAATACTCCTTAAATTTGAGATAGAAGAGCATATTAGATTTTATGCAATAACCACAGCTAGTAAATGGAATTATGGAAATGGACTGAAAATGTATAATTTAAAGGAATTTCAGAAGAGGTTAACGATTTTATACTATCTCAAATTGTGCTCGAAGAGTATATTGGTTTTCGTTCAATGACCACAGTCCTATCTGTCCTATCGTCTGTCTGCATTTCTATATATAGCCTTCTCTTTAGCCTTCTTTCTCTGTAGCCTTCTTCGATACTCATTCAGCTTGCCAAGAGAGAGTATATTGGCTTCTATTGCTTTAACCTCAGTCAATGCTGTCCATTCGTCCTTCCGTTTATATTTCTGTGATTATATATGACTTATTGAATCTAGATACTTGAGGTTTAGAATGATGGTTTCTCTTCAATACTATAAAAGGCCTTGCAAGCCGAACAAATCCATAGCTGCCTCAGCAGAAAAGTATGTTATTCTTGAACGACTCTATAGGCTGTCTACAAGTATGATATACCATCCTACCAGAGTCGAGGGAAATCGTAAGAATACAAGATCTTCCATAGATACACAGCTAGGAACTCGTATAAAGCAGTCGCTAATGCTCGACTGCAGCGCCTTTACCTCTTCAAGCCTCTCCTCTAAAATTCTCTACTCTCTCTTCTCTCTCCCATCCAATCCCTCGGCAGACTCGTTCACGGCAGCGCGCCAAAGGGTCTGAAGCAGCCGTTTGTGCCGGAGCTGCGTCTGCTGGGCTACGTGGAGATCGATCGGATCTTTGCGCTGCCCCTGCAAAAGGATACGGATTTGGTGCCGGTGCCGTTGAATGCGAAGATCAAGCTGCAGCGTGCCAAGAACATGGAGCAGCTGGAGCACTTCATTGAGTATACGCGCTTTCTGGACAAGGCGCAACGTTTGCTGGCCGATGCGCGCGATCGTCTGCAAGTTGTTGATCTCAAGCTGAGCGAGAAGGAGAAGAAGGACTCCAAGTTCAGCAGCCGCAATGGCAGCGGCAATCGGCTGCCCATTGTCATGCTGCCATCGGCCGCGGGCCTGGCCAGCGGCTGGATGGAGAGCGGCTATGTGTTGCGTAAGAGCGCCAGCTGTGATTCGTGGTCCAAGCAGCATCAGCTGCAGCATCAGCAGCAGCAGCAGCAGCAACAGCAGGCGCTCAATAGCAACGATATTGCCGAGGAGTACAACGAGATTGATCACATCTATGATTATGTGCGTGGCCTGACACCGCTCTCGAAGGGTTTGGCACGATTCGAACCGATTTGCGAATCGCCTACGCTCAAATCGCATCATACGGACAGCAGTGGCAATGGCAACTATTGCAGCCTGATACGCGCACCGATTGCTGCTGCAGCAGCAGCACCTCCAGCACAGCAGCAGCAGCAGCAGCAGCAGTCGAACAGCAACATCAACAACAACTACAGCAGTCTGGAGTCGAATAAGCACAGCAGCAGCAATGGCGGCAACACACATCATCATCAATATGCAACACAACAGCAGCAGCATCAGCAGCAGCAACAGCAACAGCCACACCAACAGCAGCATTTGCTGGTCAATCACTATCATCATAGCCATAGGCAGGAGGATATTAAGCCCGTGCCGCCGCCCATCGAGACGATTCCGGGCAAGAAGCCAGCCGAGAAGCGACAGCGTCCCACACTACCAAAGCTTTACATCAAGAATTCGAATGCGAATGCGAATGCGCATAGCGCCGGCAGCAGCAGCAATGGCAACTCCACTGGCGGCACCAGTCACAGTCACAGTCACAGCCATAGTCACAGTCACAGTCACAGTCAGCAACATTTGCCGCCAACGCCCAATAATAACAGTAACAACATCATCAACAACAACAACAACAATACAGCTGCCATTGTGGCTGCTGCAGCGATCAATGCACATCACGCTCACTCGCATGGGCATCCACACACACACACGCACGCACACCCCCATCCACTGCCACATCCACACCCACACCACGGCAAGGTGCTGACGCCCAACAATCATTTGCCTGTTAAGGAATCGCTGGAGCCGCAGTCGCCGCTGTTTCATATCAGGTAAGTGAGAAATAGGGAGAGAATGGGGAAGATATATAATTAGATCTTGTTAGCAGGTTTCGCAAGAGATTTTTAGAAATTCTGAAATACCCATTGATTATGGCATTACAGAGTGAACTGAATGTAACTGACAGTAAAAAAGCTAAGCAGGGCTTAGCTTACTTCTAGATATTCCCGATGATGGCATTACAGGGTATATTTTCTGTATGTAACGAACAGTCAAGAACATAAAAAACATATATATTCTTGAAGACCTAATTGGACATTGTTAAGTTATTTATAAAAAAAAAATATACTGTAAATATATATTTAAAAAAAAAAAAAAAAAAAAAAAAAAATCTGATTAAATCATTTTAAGCAACTTTTTAAAATTTCATTAGAGCGTCTAATGTTAAAAAATAATTAAAAATAAACGTGAAGATCTTAAAAAAAATAAAAAATAAATAAAATAAAATAAAATAAAAATAAAAATAATATAAACAGACAAAAAAATAAAGTAAATACAATATAAACAGACAAAATTAAATAAAAGCAAAAATAAAAAATAACAAAATTTAAAAAATATATAAAAAAAAAATTTTAAAAAATAAATAAATATACAAATCAATTACGATCCCCATTGCAGTTTATATTATTATAGGGTATATTAATATGGCAACAACAAATGTAAATGTCCTAACATCACACTCTCGTTTTCCCTTTATTTTCGGGTCCACCCAGATACAAGAGCCTCAGCAGTCTGCAGTTGACGCCCGATAGCAATACAGCGGCCATGACGCCGCCGATCTCAGCCAAGGCAGCGGCAGGAGGAACAGTTGACGCCTGCTCACAGACGCCGCCCGATGTGGTGCTCAAGTGCAGCAGCATACTGAATACCCATGGCTATCTACACAGTCACAGTCACAGTCAGAGTCACAGTCAGAGTCACAGTCACAGCCGCAGCTCGAGCAGCAACAATCATCATAATCCGCGCGAGGGCACACTCGACTCATCGCGCAGCGGGGGACGAACGTCGGGCGATTCACAGAAGCAGCTGCCGGAGAAGAAGACGCGACGCTTGTCACGGCCGCGCAGCCTCTCCAATTTGGTGTGGGATCTGCGGCCGAGCAAGGAGAAGTCCAAGAAGAAGCTCTATGTGCATCATTTCGATCAGCGTCAACAGGCGACGCTCTATCTATAGGAAGTTATGATGGGGGAGAAGCAAACTGAAGTGAAGTGAAGTTGGAAGAAGATTCGTTGCCAAATCGTTTCGCTGCCATCAACGACAAACCCACAGACAACAAACAACAACAACAACAACAAAACAAACAACAACAAGCAACATTTAGAGCGCTGTGTGTGTTCCCGCAGGTGAGCAAGCCTCTAGTCGCTAGCGGGTTTTGGGTGGGAGGGGAGGCGTGGCAATGCAAATCGTGCCGGCCCTCTGATTGTTTTGCTTATTAAATTCGTGCAGTTTAAAAACTTAAACTAATTTCCGCTCGCTCCTTGCTATATCTCTCTCTCTCTCTTTCTCTCTCTTGCAGCTTTCACCTAGATTTTTTTTCAATTTCTTGTTTAAAGCTTGCAGCAGCAATTTTTAATTAATATTGAATTGTGCCTTTCCCTGCGCCCAGAACTATGCTTTAAACAACAACAAAAACAACCAAATTCCATTCAAATATTTTTCAAGAATATTTTGCCTGGATGCACGAACGACAACTGAGAGCGAGACAGAGAGAGAGAGGGAGAGAGAGAGTGGGAGAGCGAGAGAGATGAAGCGTGAGAGCGAGCGGAACTTACTAAAGCAGTTGAGCCAAACAACAATATAACCACATGAAGCGCTAACACACACCTACACACACACACGTACACTACACCTACACCTACACACACACACATCAAGTCTATAAAATTGTGATTTTAATTTTATGTTTAATTTAATGTTATGCGACACATTTAGTTAATATTTTTTTAAACGATGCGGCGATGAGCGATGGAAAAAAAACAAAAACAAAACAAAGCAAAATAATAAAAAACATAAGAAATATACTAAAAAATAATAATATAAATATATATAAACAAAAGCCATTTATCAATTTGCTGTCGCTTTTAGTTTCGAGTCGAAATGGCAAAAAAAATAAAATAAAATAAAAAATTAATTCAAAGAGAGTTAGCTGGAGAAAGAAAAAGATAGAGCAAGAGAGGGAGATAGAGCGAAAAGCAGCAATATCAAAATACACACAAACACACACACACACATTTATAAACAAAGACACACACACACATGAGTATATTATATAGTTAAGCAATATATATATATAAATAAATATCGCGTACATTATTTAACTAGATGAAGTTATGCAACAAGAGCAGCAGCAGCTGCAACAAGCAACAAGATTTATGCAATTTTTAAATCGTTAAACAATGAATTTAATTAATTTCTCCTCATAATTGTTTACAATTAATGCAATTTAATTACAGTTACAATTATAATTACAATTAAACTATAATCTTGTTAGTCTCTCTTTTCTTTTAGTTCGAGCTCAAGAGATAGAGAGAGAGAGGAATGGGGAGAGAGAGGGAGAACCATCACTCTCTCTATCTCTTTTGCTTGCATTGTCTTAGTCGTTTAGCGTGTACATTTTTTAGTTATTACAAATGATATCGCTTATACAACTAGCATATTATGTGAGCATATAGAGTATACTATATTATACTATAAATACAAACTACATTCTATTTGTGTCTAATAAATGTCTCAGAAATATATATATAAATATGTATATCAATTGTATATGCAAAAGCAACGTGTTATTCATTTGGGCGGTGTGTGGGCGTCGGGTAGCGTTGCGTCGCGTCGCAGCGAACGAAAGCAATTGAGTCGTTTATAGAAACGGGAAGAGTTTCGATTGCAGGTGCAACAGGTAATTAAGCTGCTTTTACAAAACTGGCTCGAGCCATAAATGGAACAAACAATGGAAAGTGCGCAGTATTCATTGATTCAGGTAATTGTATTAAAATGATGTTTATAGAATTTTATTTGGTATATTGTTGAGGCAAATAATACTCTTCTCAAATATAAAATTGTATATTAGTTAACACAAACTTTAAAGTATAAAACTCTCAATTATTAATGAAAAAGAAATCGTTGATCTTAAAGAACCAGCCTTTTAATTACCAATCGATGCTACGTTGCTCGCCTGGAACTAAAGAATCCTGAATTCTTAGACGTCCTCGTAGGCTTTAAAAGGGGATAAAAAGCATCAAGATCTTGTTCCAGCGCAAGGATATGGCTAAAGTAGAAGTACACGTATGCATCTTATGCCCAAAGTAAACTTTGCCTGCAATATTTCTCCTTTTGGGTATGCAACGAAATTTTTTGCAGAAAAATTTGTCAGCTGCTTACTGAGATTTCATTTTGAATGGTATTTTTACGAAATATTGTAAAATTTGACGGCTCTTAAAGGTCAGCTCTGACGGGTATGCGACAAAATTGTTTTTTTTTTTTCGTAGATTTTTTGATACTTTTTGTATCTATCCTGTTTGCCTGATATCTTAGCTTATATTTTTAGTAAAAAGTCAATTTTCCTTTCATGTTTTTTGTTTAATAAATATTAACAAATGTTTTTTTAAATATACAAAATATACATATTAATAAAGTTTTCTTAAAAATACATAAATAAAACTGTTTTTTTTTTTTTTTCATTTTTTTTTATCTTATTAATTTTATGTTGCAGCTGTTGTTACACGTGGGTAGATGCTTCGCCTGACTTCCCAGGCGCTCTATGTAGTCGCAAATATAGAAACGTCGTTAGTGTGATATGATCTAACTTAATAATTATCCAAGTTTCAATATACCCCCAAGACTTGATTATATCCTTAATATATGCATATTGGCAACGCATTAAAGTATCATTTATAGCCTAAGCTGTTTTATAGACCTCATACGTGACCCGCTCCTTATAAATCAACATTGCTACACAGTGAGGTTAAACAAAAAGCACAACAACAACACGAGCAATTCAGTTAAATACACACAGCACACAATACTTAACTGGCTTTAACCAAAACGGGATCATGCGCCAGGTGAAAACTGCGCAATTGCTAGCGTTTGCTTTTGCCTAAGCGTTTGTTTTCGTTTTTGTTTTTCTCTTCTCGCTTCTTTCAGCAAACGCACCAAGCGCAAAAGAAAAAAAAAAAACCATTTGAATAGAGCAACACTTAATAATTTATGGATACACGTCAAATGCTTCCTGCTAAGCGTCGAGCGAGACAATGAGGCGAAACACACCTGCCAAAGCATCGACACCTGGCCAAAAACATGAATTGCGCCCATTTGGGCAAAGAATTAAATCCCAATTGCATTACACACACAAACACACACACACACAGCAACAACCATATTGGAGCATATGCGGAACAGACTGAGAGAGTAGAGAGGAAAAATGTTTATAGATAGTTAGAGGAGGCTCAATTGCGTTAATGTTCGTAATTAGTTGGCAATATCGAAAGATTTAATTTGCCCGCACAACAACAACAACAACAACAACGCCAAAAACGTAGCCAAGCCGATCAAGTTTGTTGCCTAAGTCTTTTGTTATTGCAGCGATTGAAGCAAATTGTGCTATGCAAATAGTTGAGAGAGGGAGGGAAAGAGAGAGAGAGAGAGAGAAACGTATCTCGCCAGCTTGAGCTGGCGGCAACGAATTGAATAACATGAAAAATGCGCTTACATTGCGATATCATCACGTTTATGACGCTGGCGCAATTAATCAGCCGACATGCAAGCGCTAAAAGGCAGAACTCCAAGCTGCAAACTCCAAACTGCAAACTCCCAACTCCAAGTCAGAATTGGAGTTGCAAGTTGCAAGTTGGAAGTCGCAGACACTGCAGCAAACGCACAGCTGGCTCTGGTCTTTGCCTTCTGCTGCGACTAAGAACGAACCATAAACGTTTCTCTGCTCATCAAATGTGCAATTTATAACATTTTCCAAGGCGGCTGCCGGGACGACCAAAGCTCCAGCTTCAGACGCCTACGCAAAAGAACGAGAATCAACAACAACAAAAGGAAATGTTCGACTAGATGATACTTTGCAAATAGTTTGGACTAAAATTTGTCAATGAGTGGAAGAGAATTAGATTTGGACTTGGACTTCAACGAAAGCTTGGATATAAACCAGGACTACGACTCCTTCCTCAGTTAATAAATATTTTAACTGAGCTTAGTTCCGTTCGGGCAGTTCCAAAATGAAGACCCCAAGCTAGAGTTTTAACAAAGGATTCTACGCCTAATAAATAAATTAAAATATTCAAATGAAATTAATAAATAAATGAAAATACAAAAGTAAATAAAAATTGATATACAAATTTAAAAAAAAAAATAATTAAAATAAAATAATTCTGAAATGAAATTAAATATTTAAATTAAAAAACATGTATATAAATGTATAAAAAAAATTTTAATTAAATTTAAAAAATAATTAAAATAAAATAATAATATAAAAAAAAGACAAATAATAAAATAAAGAAAAGTAAAAAATAAATAAAAATAAAATATTTAGAAATTAACAAAGATCACATAAGCTATTTCTAATGATACCACAACAAATTCTATATTAATATTTAATTAAAAATATATATTTAATATATAATTTAGCTACCATCTGACAGACGAACATGAAAGCCTGTTTCGATAAAGCTGACTCTATGATTCCCGTCAATATCATACAACATGCTTTAACTTCTACTGCATCTGCTGCACATGCCATACATCATTATACCCCATTTTCTGTAATCATATTCATTTGCCCAGCTTACAGGGTATAACGAATATATATTCTCAGATCTCAGGCGCAAAGCTCTCGTTCTCTGGCTGCATGTTGCCTGGCCATTTGCTACAGTTATGGCACACAGGAAGACACTGAAGCGGCTCGTCGAACAGCTGCCATGGCACACAGGCGAGAGAGGGAGAGATCGAGAGCCTCGATCCATCCGCCATCCGCCATCCGCCATCCGCCTTGGCATTGCCTTGGCTATGGCTCATGTGCCGGCGATTTGTATCGCCGTCTGTTTAAACTGTGTAAATCGCCCTAAACTACGCATCAGTTTCGGTTTCAATCTTAAAAACTTGCTTTGCTTTGCTTTGCTTTACAGCCAAACAGCATCAGCATCTCTTGTCTCTACCGTAAGACCGTTGCCTGTTGCTTCAATATGTTTATTTAAACGCTGCTGTTGCTGTGGCTGTTGCTGAGCGTTGAGGAAGTGGTTTTATTTGCCACGGCTAGCAACTTGATCGCGATATATTCACGCGATATGCGATGTAGCGGTAACAAATTGGCCCAGCC